CATAATATTACTTTATTACTTAATAATTTAGATTGTTTTAATTAATTAGGAATAGAAAGACCGGTTTCCCCGTGGATTCGACCCTACTTCCCTATCTGTATTAATTAGAGGATTTAGGAATTACTTTTGATTGGGTGATACGACTTGAGTCTGTCAATGCCGTTTGTCAAATACGTCAGGTTGCCATCCATCCAAGTAGAACTTTGGTCCAGTACTCCAATGGGTCGTCATCAGATATACTTCGTTTTTCCATAACTTCCCAAAAGAATGACCGAGGTGTATCACGGGAGGCGGAGGATGCCAATTTTGATAAGGCATCCGCCTAGTTGTTTTTAGACCTAGGCACTTGACTTAGATGAAATTGTTCAAGTGTCCCAGCTTCAGCTTTGACCGCCTGCAAATATTTGATCACAACCGGATGGGTGGTTGGATACTCACCATGGTATTGGCTTACGACCAACTGAGAGTCCGAGCAGGCGTCAATTTTTGTTTCCCCTGTCGCCTTGCACATGCGGATGCCAGCTAGTAGGGCCTCATATTCCGCCTCATTGTTTGAGGCATGGAACTTGAACCGTAGTGCATATTCGTTTTTGTCTCCTTCTGAAGACTAACAGATTATGCCTGCACCACAACCGTTCATAGTAGAGCTCCCGTCTACATGCACCTTCCAAACCTGATCAAGGTTGTCCGGAGTAACCGAACTTGTCATTTTGATAATGAAGTCGGCAAGCACATGACCCTTCACTGTCTTTCTTAGTTCGTAGGTGATTTCCAGAATTTGCATTTCAACAGCCCATTTAAGCATTCTATCGGATGATTCTAGGGTTTTCATTAGCCTCTTAAGGGGTTAATCTGTATAAACAACCACCGAATGTGCCAGGAAGTATGGTTTCAACTTCTTAACAGCCATGTAAAAGAAAGGCCAAATTTTTCAACCATGGGGTACCAGAGTTCAGCATTTCTGAGAACATGACTAATGAAATAGACCAGGAACTTGATTTCGTCTCTCTTAGCAAGGAGAACGACACTGAGGGCGTGACCTGAGATGGCTAGATACATATAAAGCGTCTCCTTTGGCAGAGGACTAACAAGCCTTGGCAAGCAGTGTAAATGTTCGTTCAGCTTTTGAAAGGTCGCTTCAGCATCATCTCCCATTCGAATCTAGTCTTCTAACTGATTACTTGGAAGAAATAAAGGAACTTTTCACCTGACCGGCTAAGGAATCTCCCAAGCGCAGCCAGACAACCGGTAAGCCTTTGAGCGTCCTTGATAGTGCACGGTGAATTCATGTCAATCACCACCTATATCTTCTCGAGATTAGCCTCTATCCCCCTTTGATCAATAAGGAATCCGAGAAACTTCCCAGACTTAACACCAAAAACACACTTTTTGGGATTTAACATGACATTTTGCTGCTTGAGTGTAGTAAAGATTTCTCGGATATCAATAAGGTAATTTGTCTGTAGATTGGATTTGACCATCATGTCATCAATGTACGCCTCTACATTCCTCCCAATCTAATAAATGAAGACTGTATTAATCATCCGTTGGAAAGTAGTCGGCGCATTCTTCAACCCTAACGGCATCACTGTATAACAGAATAACCCCTGATCAGTGACGAAGGTCATCTTCTCTTGATCTTTTTTTCCATAGGGGTATCTAGTGGAAGCCGGAGTAGGCATCAACAAATTTCTTCAAGTCATGCCCGACTATAGAGTCGACCAGGCTATCGATCTTTCGGAATGGATAACTGTCCTTTGGACATGCCTTGTTCAAGTCAGTGTAGTCAACACACATGCGCCAAGTACCACTCGGCTTCTTTACAAGCACTACATTCGCAACCCAATCAGGGAAGTTACATGGCCTAATGAACCCGGCGTCTAACAGCTTTTTGACCTCGGGAGCTGCCTCCTGACTTCTCTCCTCACCGTGATTTCTTTTCTTTTGCCGGATGGGCTTCTTTTTGGATCCACGGCGAGTTTGTGGACAACGAGGTCTGGGCTTATGCCTGTCATCTCTTCCACTTCAAAGGCAAAGATGTCTTTGAATTCTTTCAGCAGAAGGTCCAAGTCTACACCCAACCTTTCAAAGGTAGTCGTCCCCACCTTAACAGTTCATTCTGGACGGCTGTCTTCTAGAGGAATATCAATGTGCTCACTAGCCAGCCAAGGACGGAGATCATCTAACCGTTCCCCAGTCAAGGATTGCTATTTCTTCTCCTTTTTCACCTCCACCAGCTGATAAATTGTTCTTTTCTTTGCGGCTGTTGGAGGGGGTGAATCAGGGTCCTTGACATCGTCAAGGTCTATTGGCTGCTTCGGCTTACCGGCTGCAGCAGGAGTCGGTTTGACGTTTGAGAGGTAGCACTCCCTTGCCGTCTTCTAATCCCCGTTGAGGGAGCCAACAAATCCATCATCCTTTTCATACTTGAGAAGCATGAGAGCTGGGATGATGACGGCCTTACACTCATTCAAAGTGGGTCGGCCAAGAATAAAGTTTTAAGCGGTCAGCTCTTTAACCACAAGGAACCGGACGACCATGTGTCACCCTTTTCCCTTCTGCCCTAGCTGGATGGGTAGGTCAATTTGTCCGACTGGGTGCACGACCCCTCGACCAAAGCCAACTAATGGATGGGAGACGTCGTGCAGATTGTCCAGCTTGTAATTAAGCTTAGATAGACACTTGTAGTTGATGAGATCAGAGGAGCTACCCGTGTCTATCAGGATCCGACCAACCAGTTGGTTGGCGACCTCCCACTCAATGATGATTGGGTCGTCATGCGGTCGGCGCACTTTGCCCTTATCCTTCTCAGTGATGAGGATGTCTAGGAATGTCCCACTGGAGGACTGTCCATCATCAACTGAATGAATAAACTTCTTGAGATGAACCTTGGTGCCCCAAATGGTCAGGCCACCTCATGCAAATCCGCCTACTATGGTATAGACCGGATCCTTATCAGTATCCGAGCTACTAGTAGTTTGGACAGTATTTGACGACTGCCCCGGATTCGTCTTAGAAGCCACTTTGGACTTCAAGACATAGGACTTCAGCAAGCCCTTGTCAGCTAAACGGTCCAACGTCCGCTTGAGGCTATAGCAGTCGTTGGTGTCGTGGCCCACTTCCTCATGGAAGTGACATAATTTATTCTTGTTCCGCGACCGAACGTAACTCTTCATAGGATTCGGCTTCTCAATAGTTAGCCGGTCCTTCACCTATGTGAAGATGGTGTAGCAGTCTTTATTTAATTCATTCCGTGAGACATACGGTTTGAAATCTTTCTTTTTCTTTTAAGACGGATGAGCAGGTTCATCAACCACCGAAACATCTTTTCTCTTTTTACTCTCTTCAGATTTTTGAGCCGGCTGAGCAGACCGACTCTCCTTTTGCTTATCGGAATTTTTATAGTCCGACTGATGGCTGGACGATCAGAGGTTGGTAGCCTGAATAAACCTCTCCGCCTCTATCAACGCCTCTTGAAGGGTGAAAACCCTCTTTCGGACAAGGTCAAACTTATAGGTCGACCCGTCCTTCATACCCTTAAAGAAGTTTTTATAGGCTTACTTGTCAGACAGCCCCTGGATTTGGATTCTCACCAGGTTGAACCGTCTGACATAGGAGCGTAGTCCTTCTCTCTCTCCCAGCCTTATAGTGCTCAAGTCAAGACTTGTTTTCTTGGCAGGAATGTTCATTGAGAAGTTGGAGGCAAACAAGAAGGCAAGCTTCCTGAAGCTGTCAATGCAACCGTCTGACATGATGCTAAACCATTGTTGGGCAATTCCCTTCAACATGGTCGGGAAGCACCGACACCACATAGCGTCCTCCAGCCCCTACATGTGCTTGAGGTTGAAGTAGGCCATAAGGTAGTCCTCCGGATTGGTGGTACCGTCATAGGCACCCACCAACACATTTTTAGACTTGGCCGGCTGTGCCGCCTCGGTTATCTCCTTGGTGAACCAGAATTTTGTTCACCAAGTTTGAGCAGATGAAGCTGCCGGTCCAGAGGTTGGATATTATATGCCACCTGACCTCCAAAGAGGGTTGACTGCATAAAATGAGGGGAATATTGACCGTACACCATAGGGGGTATGTACGGGGCATTCCCAATCATCTAACGGTCGGAGTTGACGGTATCACCGCCTGTACGGCTCTCATGCAAGGATTGAGTATTCCTTGCAGATGTATTTTTAAAGCTGTCTAGAAAACTCGATGTAGAGGCTGACTTAGACAACTGCTGATTCCTATTCTGCTCGATGACATGTCGAGCATCGGTGTAAGTCTTCTTGTTGCCATCCGGCTGAATAGCACGGATGAACTTCCTTGTGCCTGTCTGGGGCACAAGGATCATTTTCCAGTCAATGGCATGCGTAGTCTTATCCTTAGGATGCGGAGTAGGCTACCTGTCCCAAACTGGCTTCTTCCTCGCAATTCGAGGAGACCTTTTTGCCAATTAACCCTTGCTAGACCCAGTTGTCCTCTTTTCGATCAGGTCCTTGATCTCAACCTTGAAACTCATCATGAATTACATGAGCTCGTCTCTAGTTACTGGAGCCTGACCTCTTGACGACTGGCACTAGTAGAAAGAGGCTCATTTGCGTCGCTCATTTATAGTGTATTTGCGTCGCTTCTATGAGCGACGCAACTGATCGCGACGCAAATGATTTAAAATTCATTTGCGTCGCTCCTTTATAAAGGAGCAACGCAAATGAATCTTCTGATAAACTTCTTGTTTGTTATTTGCGTCACTTGTTTATATAGGAGTGACACAAATGAGTTTTCTGATAAACTTCTTGTTTGTTATTTGCGTCACTTGTTTATATAGGAGTGACGCAAATGACTGACTAGAAAATACAAAATTGCTTTATTTGCGTCACTTGTTTGTTTAATAAGTGACGCAAATGAGGTGAATTTTTTTTTTTTAATTATAATAATTTCCTTGTACATGTTTGTAGTACCTGTTTTCCTTGCTAGTGGTATAAAGTAATATGCTAACGCTAATATAATTGAAATTAAAATGCAATATTATTGAATAATGCAAATGTAAATTTCGGCAGAGTCTCCTTTGTATTTTGGCCTACCCATAAAATTGGGAATGACGACATTATATTAACAACCTGTCCAATAATTTACATCTCGATATCATAGACATTATACTCATCATCCCAACACCAATTAACCAAAATCATTCATGTCAAGCCTATAATCCAAAATAAGAGTCCAACATGCGCTAAGTGTAAATCTAAAGTTCAACATTACATATAATACTCTGCCCAAATATCTCGAATCTCATTTATCTCCTCCTCGGTGTATGGTGTAGTTTTTGAAGAATCCTATCAACACAACAAATATACAAGAGGAAAGTTTTAATTCAAGATTGTAGCTAACATCAAATTGTATTTATCAAACAAAAATGAAATATTTGACAACTCATACCTGAATAAGATCCTCACTGCTATGGTGATGTTCAAGTATTTCGTACATATAACGCACGACGTAGTAGCCACACTCACGTCCACCCAATTGTTGAGGACACTACATGTAATATATTTAAAATTTGAATTAAATTGCTATACTTAAATTATTAAGAAACTAAAAGTTAGGGTAAGAAATTAAGGTAACCTGTCCCAAATGCCATGTCAATTTACTTCCCCTAGATTGTCCACTTAATGCCTTGAAACTTTGAAAAGCGCTACACATTTGAAACAAATAACATATATATTATCCTTACACACATAAAATCATGACATTAATAACAAACTAGACTTACTTTGTCATTGAAAACTTAATTGCTAAATTTCGCTTCTGCCTCAAAGAATCAAAGATGATGACTTCACGCTTAGCCATGCATAAGACCAAAAGAACCAAATGATTCCTACATAATAAATTAGACACACATTTGTAAAAGAGTAAAATAATATCAACAATTTGCAAAGTTCAAATAAATACAAGTTCAAAGTTTATACTTTTCATGGTATGGGCATAAGATGAACTGCTTAGATTTTTGTTTTTCCATCACATGTGCCATGTATAGTAGGATACGATCTGCATCACTATGCAAATAGGTTTCTGAAATCATTTCCAGACACATGAATCGAATGGAAGCCACATCCATCGTATCGAGTAAGTCACTCAAGGCCCTACATATATATCATGTAATAACATTATAAATGGTAATAAATAAGTATATGGGAAGAGTGAAATTTGAATATCTTACATCATAAAAACTTGCAAAATTGAAATATTCAGCCAAGCTCCCGTGAGAAGTTGATTGACATCTTCACGTTTGATAATGATGTCCTTATTATCGTCATAACTAAAGGTCCAAGCATCAACCTTTACCTTAATAGTTTCACCTTTGGGTAATGAAGATAACAAACTATTCAAAGACCCACACTTCTGAGACAAGTTTTCCAAAGCATAATCCATAAGAAAAACTTTTTTTGGATTGGTGTTGGACTCTTTTGTTTCGTGACCACTTTCAACTACTAATCAATAGTAAAGCAAATCTATTCAACAATTTGCTATATTTTGTATAGCAAACTATATGTAAATTGTTACAAAAATAATTTACCTTGTCATGCATGAGTGAAACCAAGTCTTTCGGCCATTGGGTAAATGTACCGTGAGCATGCTTAAGTTTCTTGATGACTGAAGAAGGAACTGGAACCGAGAATTCTTTGAACTCGTCAAAAAAATCATCAACACTTACCCACACGTGATCTGGAATAAGGTTACTATGATGATCAAGGATTAACTCCGGATGATATGTACCTTCAGCGACAATGAATTTCTCATAGTCATTTTTCAACAATGATAGCCGACATGGAACCGTTTCCTTATAAAGATAGAAAAAAATCATTATTAAAAAAAAAAACTGAGTTACAAAGTTAAAAGTATGTCGCAGTCATAAATCATTACCAAAAAAAAGATAAAAAATATAAAATAATAAAGTTTTGGATACCTGTATGTTTGCAAATGGATCATCACCCACTGATTGGCAACTACTAGGATTTTGTTGAGTCGTCCGGCCTATGTTATTCATTTCCATCAATTCAGTTGGAATTTGAAAACCAATCTATTTAGCAAATAACATAAACTTCTCTTGAACCATGGAATCCATTTTAGAATCCATCTCCTGCATAGTCTCCACTCGTACCCTCCGGGCTACTCTTGCCTCTAATTCTTCCAGCTCAGCATCTCCAAATTCCCTACCCCGTCGGCCACTACGCCTCTCTCCGGATCCCCATACAGCTTTAATGCCAATTCCACTGCCAAATGCTATTGCCCGACCATTACGATCTTTTTTCCCAAGGGCACGAGATAAGATATCATCATTCCTATTAAGAACAAATTTTCCATCAGCTTGTTGCTTTCTCCAATTATCCTACACAAAGACTTCAAGTTAGAAAACTTTGGTTGCAATACATAAACTTAACAAAATATATTCAAAATTGAAATAAAGACTTATTATATACTTACAATGGATTCTTTCATCTCTCTTGTTTTCTCATCCGGCAAATAAGGATTTCCCTTATCATCTTCTATTGATCTTGCTAGAAGCCAAGCATATGTCCTATCCGGCAAACTAGACACAACCGAAGAACAAGATGAAGTACTAGATGCTGAAGATGCTGTGGGAATATACCCTTTTCTATGCCATACAATATTCATTTCACCATATGATTTGGCTCCTAAATGGTGAGGGTATTCGTTGAAAGACTGGCTTTGTCTTGCCTTCTCACTGATTTCCTATTTTCACGAGCATAAATGAAGATTAGTATATAAGAATCCGTTAACAAAGTATTAATAACTTGCATGATCATTGATATTAATACACACAAACCTTAAAATCATCTGTACTATGCTCCTCCACAAATGTTTTCCACATATCCGCAGATATGAAATCATAGAGTACATACGCCATTCTTTTCTCATTCGGCATATTCTTGGGACATGTGATCAAACCACTGACCAATTTTGTTTTAAAATATCTCCAAGTTTTATCACAAGTGCGTAGGACCTTTTTTTTCTTGTCTTCATCTTCTTCGATTTGAAACTCTCTCTACAAAAAAAATTAAAAAAATAAAAAAAGTTAGTAAATAATTTCATCATATTCAAATAATGTCAAAATGATCATATAATAGTATAACATTTAACATTTAATAGTGAATATTACCTTAACATCTTCCCACAAAGTGTCTTTTATTCCTTGTGGAACTTGATTCCAATCTTTATACAATATAGACACCTTTGCACGGCTTATTTCACCAAGATGAGTTTTGTATGCTTTTTCCCACTTTCCAATGGGTCGACACAATTCATCCCATTCAAGCACTCTAGGAGCCCCAGGCATGGATTTCAGGCCCTTTGAAGGACCTCTTGGCTTCTTTTTCTTCTAGTAAGAGTCGGTTGTTTGTTGCTCTGATTGTGATTGATTGTGTGGCTCATCTTCCTCACCTTGCGAAGACATGGAACGATTATGCATATCCTCATCCTCCATTATTACTTACCTGAAAAAAAAGACATAAATAAATTAAGACATCAGTTTGTATCATTTTTAAATTATAAACTTGTACACATAACAATAATAAGCAATTTATGCAATTAGTAACACATATTGGAAAAAAAAAATCACAGAATTCATACCTACTTCATTCTTCTCTTTTGCGACATAAAATCCTTCATTATGATCTTTTCGTTTCAACATTGTGTCAAAATCATCGACTATTGGAGGGATGCTCCAAATGGAAGGTGGTGACTCATTAAATTGCTCATCATATTCTTCCTCGTTCACCACATCTTCAATGCCAAGTATCCTTCTTTTACCTTCTAAAACAACGAACCACTTACAATCAGCTGGGTCAGCCATGTAAAAAACTTGTTTTGCTTGTGAAGCTAATATAAATGGATCAGCTAGATGCCCTCGTCGACCAAGATTTACAAGGGTCAAGTTCCCTTGTTCATCTTTTTTTACACCACGGCTACTATCAGCCCACTTACAACGAAATAGAGGAATCTTGAAATCAACATAATCCAGCTCTATTATTTATTCAATGATTCCATAATAAAATTTCTTCTTATCCACAAGTGTTTTATCATGTGCACTAACATAATCAGATGACAAACCTACTACTTTAACACCACTTTTTTGCATTGTTGACTTGTCATCTTATCGGCTAGTGTAAAAAGAATACCCATTGATGTCGTATCCCTCATATGACATGACTTGACATTTAGCACCATATGCCAACCATCTCAATGTGTCAGATATATCGTTAGGTGTGGTGGATAGTTGGGACATCACTCGTTCCTTGAACCATGTAACGAATGAACAATTATGCTCCTTTATCAGCTGAAGATCACCATTGGAAGGATATTTCTTTTTAAGAAAAAGAATGTGCTCGTCCAAGTAAGGATGAACCTCACTAAGATTTTGCAACACAAAAAGCTCGGCCTTATTTTTCATTTCAAAGCCCATGGATATCCTTTTCCTGCCAATAGTACCTTGACCTCCAAGCCTCCCATCGTGTCGAGACTTTGGCAACCCAATTTTCTGTGAACGTGCAAGATATTGAACAACCCATGCTGCCACTTCCTCGGCAACTGTTCGTTGTACAATACTAGCTTCAGGTTTGGCCGGATTCATGACTTTTCCCTTTAAGTCACCCATTTCTCGTTCAAAAGGATACATGTATCTCATACACACTGGTCCACAAAGTTTAATTTCATGTACAAGATGAATAACCAAATGAGGCATCACGTCAAAAAAAGATGGGGGAAAATACATTTCAAATCGACACATTGTCTCAAGTACATCTGCTTGCAAGTCATTTAAATTACTTGGATTTATGACCTTGCTACAGATAGTGTTAAAAAAGACACATAATCTTGTAATCGTATACCTCACTTGAGGTGGCAAAATTCCTCGAATGGCAACTGGTAATAATTGTTGCATCAAGACATGATAATCATGAGATTTCATGCCACCCAATTTCAAGTCAGACATTGACACAAGTCAACGAAAACTACAAGAAAATCCAGCCGGGACCTTTAAACCATGAAATGACTCATAGAAGCTAGTTTTTTCCTTTTTAGACAAGGTAAAGCAAGCTGGGGGAAGATACCAGCGTTTTCCTCGAGATTCGGCTGCCAACTCTGAACAACCCATAGCAGCCATGTCTTTTCTTACTTTAACTCCATCCTTTATCTTTCCTGGCATATTTAATAAAGTTCCCACAATGGCATCACAGACATTTTTCTCAATATGCATTACATCTAGACAATGTCTAACTTCCAAATGTCTCCAATATGGAAGAGACCATTGCTCAGACTTCTTCTTGTAACCCCCAGTTGATTTGCTTTTGTAAGGCTTACCAAACTCATTCTCAATGTCTTTGACCCGCTGATAAACCTCACTTGCATGTAAAGGGCCACGAGCTTCTCTCAACTCCACTTTTCCATTAAAAGCATCCTTATTGAATCGAAAAGGGTGGTCTTCAGGAAGATGTCTGCTATAATCCATGTATACATGCTTGCCACAATTGTCTAGGCGTAATGCCTCCAAATCATCTTCACAAATGGGGCAAGGAGTTGTTCCCTTCACATTGTACCCCGACAAATTCCCATAAGCTGGGAAGTCATTTATCGTACAAAAAATCATGGCACGTAAAGTGAAATTGGTTTTACTATATGCATCAAACATTTGGACATCTTCGTTCCACAACAATTTTAAATCTTCAATGAGAGGCACTAGATACACATCAATGTCATTTCCAGGTTGTTTAGGCCCAGATATTAGAAGGGACAACATAATGTATCTAGACTTCATGCATAACCAAGGAGGCAAATTATAGATATTAATTAGAAGAACCGGCCAAGTGTTATATTGGGTACTTAAATTAGTGTCCCAAATGGGTTCATTCCATTTGTACTATGACCAAGCCTAAGATTTCGATCTTCTTCACCAAAGTCCTTGAACTTTCGATCAATGTTCCTCCATTGCGGGGAATGAGCAGGATGCCTCATTAACCCATCTTTCTTCCTCCCATCAGCATGCCACCTCAATAATTTTGCAGTTTTTTCATCCGAGAAGAGTCTCCTAAATCTCGGCATAATTGGAAGATACCATAATACCTTAGCCGGAGACCCTTTCTTACACAACTCACCAGTATCATTCATCTTGTAACGAGAAACTCCACACCTTGGACACTCATGCAAATCAGCATACTCATTTTTATACAACACACAATCATTAGGACAAGCATGTATCTTCTCAGACTCCATACCCAAGGGGCACATAAGTTTCTTGGCCTCATAGGTGGAGTTTAGAAGTTCATTCCCTTCGGGAAACATTTCTACTAAGGCTTTTATCAACTGCGTAAAACCCTTGTCGGTCCAACAATTGCTCGCCTTTAAGTTGAATAACTTCATAATAGCACCAAGTTTAGTGAACTTTGTACAACCAGGATATAACGGGGTTTCTGCAGCTCTCAAAATACTATCATATGTTTGGGGACACTCTGTGAAATGGTCTTCAACATCATGCATCATTTCATCTATCCTGTCCTTCTCCACTTCACTCTCACTTTCAACACCAATATCAGCTGTATCGATATCCTCACCTTGATGTTCATTATCATCATCACAATGATTCTCATCTTCCCTTGGACAATAACTAGAATTTCCTCAATATATATGCTATCACCATGCCATGTCCACCTTGTGTAGTTTTCTTTAAACCCACGACGAATTAGATGATCTTTAATATCAACTATATCACGATATCCCCTCGAATTATTACAGTCACAACAAGGACAAAGAATAATCTTTGATTTATTCTCTGTTTGGTGTTTTAAGGCAACAGTGCTAAACTCTTTAATTCCTCGTAAAAAACTTGTACAATTTCGTTTACCATACATCCAACTTCGATCCATTTTCAACCACTAAATAACAAAATTAATTTTAAGATAATGTGTATATTTTCTAACATATATAGCTCCTTAACCATAAACAAGAATATAAGGCATCAAACATTTTCATTCAAAGTTTATATCATGTAAATGCAACTCCGGATGATCCAATAAGGTCCTTATCACTCCAACCTAACCCATTCTTGAATGTCCTATCTCACTAATAACTACTTGTAAAGTTTGGTTCTAAAGAAAATCCGGCAGCATTTCCCTATAGTTCTCCAAGCACACAATGTAGATAATCGGCTATCAACATATGTACCCAGAAAACAATCAGGAAATAGTGAGCCATGATCTTCTTAGACCCAAAAACAGTTCAAGTAGTTAACACTTAAATGAGATAGAACATTCAAAAATAGTCCCAAACCGGGGACTATTCAAGACTTACTCCTAATGAGTAAGCCCTGAACAGGTATCTTAGCCAATGATGCAAGTATTATTGCAATTCCAATCAATTATATCACAATTAAAAATCTCATACAATTCACAATCATTATACCAACCAGAACAATTAAGTTAATATTGCAAAGAATGGTTCAGATATATATACCACAAGTGAAGACAATCTCGTATGCGTACTACCGCCTTAATCGTTTGTCCACAACCAGAACCTCGAGCAACTTGTGGAATTCACTTCCGCATAATTAAGAATCTGCCATAAAAAATTACATATATTAAACCAACATAGTTGATTCAACTTAATCTGCCATGTCAAATAAAAGTTGTTATTCGGCATTGCTTATTAGCCAATCATGGTGTAAAACTTGAAGACCTGAAACGAGTGTTAAGCCATCCGCAGGTATTTAGATCTTATACTAATCCATGTCTTTATTGCCATCAAAGTTATATTGCCATCAAAGTTATATTGCCATCAAAGTCCAATGAATAAACAACCTTATAACAGCTATATATAAATGAATGTAACAACATTGCTAAAATGAATGTAACAACATTGCTAAAACATTGCTAATACATATATTCTATGTTTAACCTTTTAACTAAAATCATCACCTCAAATTTTAGCTCTTCCATCTATTAATTTGTGTATGGTAATCAAGATTTAGGATCTAATCTCATCTATTTGAGTAATGTTGTTACATTCATTTATATATAGCTTCCAACAAAAAAGTAAAAGACCATACACATTTATTTTTAAATTTAGATCAAGATAGCATCTATCTTTATGTGCTTCATATATGTTTTCATTAATGCTAGACCGCTAGGGTGCAAAAGCTTATTTTGAACACATCCCATGAACATTACTGTGACATCGATTTTACATGTATTTTGTAATTTATTTAGCAGCATTTTTACAGATAATTAAAGATAAGACAGTTGAAAAACAAGGGTCAATGTTACTGAATTTAATGGCCTGGATGACGATCGACGGCACGTGGCTTATCTATTTTTGCAAAACCGCTCACATAGTCATACTATGCACTCGATTTCAGTTATATATTTGAAACCAGTAATATATTGCAAACCAACAGCTCAAAAATCAACAGCTCAAAGATGCAACCAGTTATACATTCAACTAAAATCTGCCATATATTTTCTAATTAATGAACTAACACTAAACCTGAAATTAAAATAAGTCATTGTTCAAGTTAAATGCTACATTCTATCTACCATGAAAAGATTGAACATAAATAGAAGCAATCTTACCTTAGGTGAAATTGACTTCACAAATTCAACAATGTCAAGCCGAAATCGAACTTCAATTATTGTAGCTGTAATTTCTTGACTGAAATTCGAACAATTTCTATTTATGACTGAAAATTTTCGAGTGGGGTTTCTATTTTTTGCTGTAATTTCAGTCATACTTCACAAATTCAACAATTTCGGTCATTCTAATCGAACTTGAAGACCGAAATTGAATTTTTTGGGGTTTCTAGGGTTCGAATTCGTATTGTTTTGAGTTGATTTTTTGCTTGAAATGGGGGATTTTTGGTCGAAAGCAATCAATTTTTCTGGGTTTAAGGGTTCGAAGTTCTTAGGGTTTTGGTCTAAATTTTTGCTCGAAATTGCTCGGATTTGCTGCCGATTATGGGTCTTTAACTTGATTGCGAGTTTGGATGTTGAATTTGCTGGGGAATCGCAGTTTTTGGCCGAATTTGTTGGATTTCAAGGATGAATTTGTGGGTGTTTTGCTATAGAATTTCACTAGAATTGAAGAACTCTTGTTTTTTTCTTTTTGTTTATTGAAATGTAGGCGTACGTGATGAAAAGCTAAGGTCAAAAACGCAAAATAACCTAAAACCAAAAGAGTTATTTGCGTCACTTAATTATAAAAATGCGACGCAAATAACAAAATCTATAATGTTGTACACAGCTCATATGCGTCGCTCATTTAGTAAAAGAGTGACGCAATTTACTCACTCACTTATTTGCGTCGCTTGTTGATCGCAGATAGATAGGTCGTTATGCTACCACCCTAACCAAATTAATCATTTATAATACCTAAACTTACACTAAACTAGTTAGTGGAAAGTAAAGGGTCGAACCCAAAAGGACTAAGTGTATTAATTTGTGCTAACTAGACTAGTAGGAAAGGTTGTGAGATATGGAGAGATTAAACCAAATACTACTAAGAGCAAATAACTAAAACAAGAGAAAGTGGAATCCAATTACATCAATGCATTCAACAACATCATACAATTAGATGAAAATTCCCTCGAATAGGAACATCAACACATTTAACTCACTCTCGCACAATTAAGCATGTTAATTATCCTACAAAAGTAATTCACTCTCGTGCAACTAGCCTAGAAAAGGTATGGAAGAATTTAGGGCTCTCAACCAACTCACTCTCGCACAATTGATTGAAAGCACAATTAAGAGCATAGAATCGATTAGCTTGAAAGATTCTAGTCCATAAAAGCATCACCCATACACAATAATCAAGAAACAATTTAATACTAATCACAATCAATCATTCAATTCATTAATATAACCTTCATCCAATTCCCTAGAACAAGACCTAAGCTAACATAATGAAGAAAGACATGGGAAACAAGGTAAAATAATAATAAAAATAAGATTAAACAAACAAACTAATTAATCTACTCAAATCAACAAACAAAAAGCAAAAAACTAAGAATTAAGCAAAGAAATAAAGATGAGAGAAAGTTAGAAAATGCTCATTGAATAGATGAGAAGAAGTTTCACAAAGTTGCTTCTTCAACCTCTCAAAAACTCCATGGAAATCCAAGCTTTCTCTCTCTACACTACTCCTAAACTAACCCTAAGAGAGAGAAAATAAAGGCTAAACTAATCTAATCTATCTAAAATAAAAAGTTGATTGAAAGTTGTGAGAAAATAACCCCAAAGGGGTATTTATAATACAAGTTAAATAAAAATAAAATAAAATAAATAAGACTAATTAAAACTAAATACAAAAAAGCAAAACTAAAGTAAAATAAAATAAAATAAAATAAACTAAAAAGGAAAAATAAACCCAAAAACCCCCAAAGTTCCACCAAACCCACGATTTCCACCAGACCACCTCTTCTTCTTCCCTTTCGAATTTGGCTTCATTCATTCACCATATCAACAACAAACAATCATCCTCACCGTTCATCAACACTATCATCATCTAGCATCACCAAATCTCGACCTTTGCATTAATTGAAGGAATCGTGGCCGTCCGATTTTCATTAAAATCACGTGAAAAGCTCGTGATTGACCCACATTTGCGCGCCCGCACAGAAGTCGCGCATTGGTCGCGCATAACTTACTGCCTACAATCTGATTTGGAGTCCAATTTGCGCGCTTTCTGACAGAGCTGCGCGGCCGCGAATTTCTTGGCTGTGAGTTTGGGTGTTGGGCGAATTGCGGCTGCAATTGTTGAGTAATTGGGTTGGAGATTGGTGGTCGATTGTGGGTGAAGGGCTGGTGGTATTTAATTGGTTCAGTTGCGTGGTTCAGGTATATTAAATGGGGGAATTGGATGTTGCGGGGTGTTAGTGGTTTATTTTGGTGGCTGGTGGAAGGTGTGGTTTATGGGAGCAGGGGAGCGGTTGATGGTGGAGGTTCGCAGGTGGTTGCGGTTTTGAGTGGTGAAAGTGGTGGAACATGGGAGAATTGATGTGGCTGTGATAGGTGGGTGCTGGTGGCTGGTGGAGTCGAATTGATGGTGGTAATTGCTGGCGGTTTTGGTGGCGAAATGGGAGGTGTGCGGCTGTTGCTGTTGGTGTTGGTGTTGTTGGGGGAAAGCAGGGAGCTGGTGGTTGTTGTTGAGTGAAGGTGAGAAGAGGAAGTGGTTGTGGTGGTCAGGGTGGCTGCGTGGTGGTATGCGCTGCAATTGGTGGAACAGGGGAGCTTAGTGGTTGATGGTGGAGGTTGGCAGTTGGGGTTGCGTGGTAGCAGCCATGTTCGATGACTTGGCTTGGACACATTTGACTCAAACCCGGAATTTTGAACTTGATTTGAACATGGAAATCGAGCGTCAACCCGGACACACCTACAACCAAAAATCAAACACGATGGGATTATCAAAAGGTAAAATAAAATAAAATAAAATTAGATAAATAAAGTAAAATAAAATAAGATAAATAAAGTAAAATAAAATGTTAAAACTAAATAAATAATAAAATTAAATGAAATAACATAAAATAAAGAAAACAAACTAGAAACTAAAAGAAAAATAAATAAAAAGAGAGAAACTAGGAATTAATAAAACTAAGTTAATCTAAATTAAACTAAAAACTACAAAATACTCAAATAACAAGATGAAAGACGAGAATAAGCAAAATAATAGAAATAAAGGATAAAATGAGCTTAATTATTGAAATAAGCCGGAAAAGAGACTCAATAAACACCCTAATAGTGACATAAAAGTCACTTATCAAACTCCCCCAAGCTAACCTTTTTCTCGTCCTCGAACAAATTAACATGAAACACGGGAGAAGGAGAGTGATTTATTCAAGCAAATCTAAGACACTAAAGGAGACAAGAATGTACACTAACTCACTTTCGTAGGAATCACGGTCAAATTTAGCAACTAAAGATAAGCCCTTTAAACCCCTAGATCGCCCTAGAGGACGAGTGTGCTCTCGTGAGGGTGTCCTAAGAGTTTAACCCACAATTCTAAATAAAAACCAAGGCAAGGCAATAAAAAGAAAAGAAAAAAAATGTAAAAAGAGAAAGAAAACACAAAGTTCATACTTGGACGAGAAATAGGAACATGCACCAATAATGAATGCAAACCTTTCTAAATAGACAAATGTATGCACGTTCCAAGATGTCAATGGTTGATTGAAACATAACATATGCTAAGCATAGAGAACTAATGGGGACACAATCCACCCTAGCCCCAACCATCGGGCCGCGTTCTCTCCACTAGCTTCAAATCAATCCTTAAGCTAGTTTCTCATGATTCCACGAAAGAACCGGAAAAAAAGATAAAGAAATGAAAAACTTTGAGAAGGTAATCCCGACATCTCAACTATGCATACTCTCTCCATAGGTTTGAAGTCTATCTCCCTCCACCGTTCTTTGACCTAACCCCACTAAAGTCTAAGGGTCTTTTATTTGGTTGTAACGTAAGGCTAAGGGTTAAGGCGGGGTAAATATTTGAAAATTTTGGTGATATTTCCTAAGTGAAGCAAAAGAGTGGCCTACTCTAAAAAACAAACTCAAGAAGTCACAAAATATCAAACAAAAATACCAATAATGTCATCTCCCCCAAGCTTATTCAACACTAACACAATATATACCAAAACCGAAGTAACGCTCCCCCCCCCCCAAGCTTGAACGAAGCATTGTCCTCAATGCTTAAACTAGGGAAGAAAACGAAACCAAACTAAAATATTTTTGTGATTTTTTTGTTTCTTTTCCATTTTTTTTATAGCTCTTATTTGATGTCCTTGCCTTTTTTTTTTTTTACTATGGACGACTTTTTCTTGAAACTTCCTTGATTTTCTTGAATTGCATCTTTCTTTTCAAACTTTTTTGCATATTCTTTTCAAGCTCAACTTTCAAGACCTTACTTATACTAATTCACAAAGTTTTCTTGCTCATGATCAACACTCTCAAAACTCAAACCTCACATGCCAATGCTTCACTAACTAAAAGGGTTGGTAAACATAGGCCATTGGGTTTGTAATGTGGTTAAGACAAGAAAGGGAAAATTAGGCTCAAATTGGTTAGCAAGTAGGTTAATGCAAAATAGAAAATCAAATTTGTAACAAAACAAAAAGAAGATAAATAAAAATGAGAAAAGGTGCCCTTTTCCTCCCCTAGAGTGGCTCGGTCACGATCTTGGGAGCTAGAGGTCAAAACAAGGATTAAGACATGCATAGCCAAGGATCCTGAATAGACGCTCAACAAGGTGATGAAGGCTAGAACAAATGAAGCTCATAAGGGTTTATAACCAAACAAATACCAACCAAGGGTTTCAAATCCACTATAGAGAGCAACTCCATCTTACCACATTCCCGTGAACTAAGGCTTCATGGACCCCTAAAAGTTCTTAACCCGACTACCTTAGCATATAGTATCCTAGAGTCAACCAATAACACTCTCAAACCGTGCATACATTTACCACTTAGGAAGAAAAACATTCAATGATTCAAGTCCCAAAACAAAATGTCCAAAATAAGAACAAACAAAACACATTTTGCCAAAATTACCTTGAAAGTAAACAAAAATCTTATTGGATTTTTCAAATTAAAATAAAAGACATGGAAATGCATATACTCAAGTGCATGGCATAAATGAATCAACATCCCACCAAACATGATAGAATACCTTCCCCCCAAGCTTGAGTGAGATAATATACTCAAATATAAAAAAAATAATCCATGGGAGGGGAAAAGAAAGAAATCAATCCAACAAACCAACACAAGTCCAACGAGTCACCAACCATTAGAGAAAAAGCTAGGAGAGAAATTACCGGATATTGGTGGGTGTAATTACCCGCAAATGAACCAATTTAACCTTTCAAAGCTGATTTCCTCTTGAATTGAATCTCGAATTCCATATGCTAGCAAAAATAGGCGTCAAACTTCCTTGATTCTTGATCCAAACCAATGCATAAGTGTATATCAAGTCGTGTACCTAGCAAAAGGCACACAAACATTTCCATGAGAGAAAATCTAATCTAAAAAGAAAAGAAAATGAAAGCAATAAAAACCTCGGGTTACTTCCCGAGAAAGGCTTGTTTAACGTCCAAGCGAGACCGCTCTAGTAAATAATATTGCAACGAACGCAAGAGCTTATCAAATGCACTACTACACATTTCATATGATAACAAGTAGGAAAATGATGGGAGGAGGATGTGCAACAAGATTATTGCACGTAAGTGAGGAGGAAGATGCCAAAATAAGGAAGAAAAATCAAAATAAAAATCAAGAAAATTAGAAAAGAAAGAAGAAGAAAAATAAGGCAAACTCTCCTCAAAATATTTTTGGGTGGCACAATCACCCATTTCCTCAATAATA